TATATATACATATATATATACATATATATATATACATATATATATTTATATATATATATATATATATATATAAATATAATATCATATAATTTCAGGCGTGGGACGGAGTTTTCGTAAAGATATCCTTTGATGCTAATTACATGCAAGCGTCTCAGGAGTGTCGTCGTTTAAAAGGTTCTCTTGCTTCTTATGAACAATTGATGTCAGCCGTCGAATACGGAGAGAATGTAACATGTGATCAATGTTGGCTGATCAGCGGTGAGATAACATTCTCCAATAAAGAAACAATGTGTGAACTGGTGGATCCGGCCAAACGTTGCAACCTTTATCCCGACCGTATGACATCATACACGTGTTTCTACTGCCACATTGACTCCAACCTACCACCTACCGAACAAGATTACCATTCAGCTTCTAGGATTTTACATCTTGCGTACGATGGCACAACAGGTTATATCTACACTGAAGCAGACACTCGCTGTCAGAACGAATTTGGGGGTCACCTTGCTTTGCCAATGGAAGTATATAATGCAAGTATATCCGGTGTTAGGATCTGTGTAAGAGCATGGTTTTCACATAACATATATGCAAAGCCATATCAAAGAGAGGGAGATAAAATATGCTGGTCAAATGTTTTAACCGGATACCTGTTTTTTCAGTTAGAACATTACGATAAGGAGCCAAAAAGGTCAGCATACTGCTCCTTGTCCGATGTGAACAACACAGGCGGATATCCGGCTCCCGCCCATGGAGTCGTTGGCATAAAAGGGCGTACGAGGTTATCTTTATCATATTATGACGCGCTTGCTCGATGCTACGAACTTGGGGGCTCATTAGCTACATATGATCAAATTGTAACAGCAAATGAAGCCGGGTATCAGTCCTTGTCAAAAGGATGGATAATAAATGAAGTTACGTTAATGTGCTGTTTCTATCCTGAGAAATGTGACCAAATGGGTATAATAGACGCTGTTGTAAACGACCCTAATTTATTATACAATGGTTTTTGCTATATTCCAAAATCATAACAAGGACTTTAAAAGTCATTGAGAAGATTAAGTTTACAATGAAGATACTAACTTTATGGTCGTATTATTTAAGACAAGCCAACTGTTTGGTACTGAGTTCAAGAAACAAATATAGACAGGATTCTCTTTTAAATGGTTAAATTAGTTTGAATATTTCAAAATAATGGCTAATTTTTCTAATTAATATGTATTTACAACATAATATAATGTAATATAATACATGATTGTTAAATATAATATAATCTAAGATTATCATGAGATGTAATATGCCAACTAGATTTTCAAATCAATGGCTGCCAATAACTGATATATTTTCAGTGGCTAAATTTATTATTATTTTTACAGAATGCATATAAGACTATAGTAGGCCTATAGCGTAGGTCCACCACAAAAGTCCATTCCGGTCTTTTTTGGGAAGGGGATATTTTAGCAATTAAAAAGGTGGACATAGATATACGCACCGATTATCACCAAAAAAAAATTGTTTTGCTTGCGTACGTCATGATATTAGATAAATGAACGACAGACACCAATCTTAACTTTGGGTAGGCCTATTAATTAGAAAACTCGATAGCTCTGCACCTTAAAAAGGGCCATATTAGCACCCTTTACTGATCTGTATGAAAACATTGCATAATTTATGAAATGCCACTGAAGGTGGGCCATCACGAAAATACGCATGTTAGGAGAGGGAGAGGGCAGGGAACTTGATTGATGGAGGTGATATTGTGACATTTTTTTTCGAGTAAGCTATTGCCTCGAACTATAATGGGACCGAGGCATTTTTTTTGCTTGCATACGTAAATGAAAGACAGAGACTAATCTAAAATTTGGGTATTATTTTAATAGAAAATCGATTGCTTACAAAAAAAAAGGCATAGATAGCAAAAAATATCAGATTATATATAATAAAACGTAAACAACAAAAACCATTTGCTAAAAGGAGACATAGTTCGGTTTTTGCCTAAATAATAAACTAACATATCTCAAATTCACTTCATACAGACGATTTAGGCAATTAAATCTTCTGTAGTTTTATCTAAGTGGGTGGGGGTCATAGGCCTCCTAGCACCACTTCTCGGAGGGGTTCGTGGAAGCAAACTCCCGGAAGCTCCGGCAATTTAGGAGTGGCTGTCCTAACGGAATCTCATACAATAGTCTGTAGAAATTGTTTTCTCCCCGACAGATTTTCTATCGTTTTTCAACAAATCGTGTTGAGATCTCTGACGGAGAAAACAGCTTAGTTGCATTTGACCTTTCGTAAACCCGCCGCAACCCTGAGTAGTAGCTGAGTAGTAGTTTCTACGCATGTGCTATAATTTTGCGTCGAACGCGGTCAAGTTTGTAAAAAGGAACGTTTACTTGAGTACAAACACCGCTCTTTCACCATAAAATTAAGTACTGTACATGAAAATGCTTATGAGAAATATATAACAAGCAGTTGTATTTCTATTGAAACTTTTGTTGTTAGACCTATCTAATAGATAGGATAGATAGTCCATAAGATAAGCGGACCAACGATAACGTACTATCAGTTTGGTTTTGCCATGCATCAAAATTGAAAGATACTGCGTAGAATGCTTACTCATCCTAATCCAGAGGAAACGGAACTAGGGGGTGCTGCGTTATGGAGAGTAACGTGTGATCGGAAATGTCTGCCAGTTGGTTGTTACCATGCGCCAGTTATGTTGGAGTACAGCAAGATGAAACTATTTATGTAATGCATGAATAAAGTTCAAGGTTTGTCGGGTAGTGAAATGATTATTGTACATTTTATGTGTTCCCTCCATGCATAAGTGTAAGCTAAATTACGGTGATAAAATAGCGAAGATATGGAGACAATTATTTCGAAGTTCCCTCTTTCCAAGAGGGGATGGAAATGCTTTAAGAAAATTAGTATGCCGCGGTACTCATTTTCACAAAGGAATACACGTAGCTGGTTAGCCAACAATATGCAAATTTACATGAACACCTGTGAAGAAATGTACAATCACGTTCTGCTGCCTAACAAACGTCTGTACTGGGGAAGCGTGGGGGGGGGGCTAGCCTACTGATGTACTGTGTATAGCGGGGGACGATGAAGCATAATATGACTAGGCCTAAATATACAGTGCAATTATATGTGATAGAAAGTACACTTTCGAAAGAATAATTCTGTTGCAGACGTACCTTGTGTGACGGTAGGACGTAACGGTGTTGCTAGGTGATCCAGGTAACTATAATTTGAGCGTGACGTGTGCATAATCGAGGGATGCCTTAGAAATAAACCTGCCCTAATTCCATTAAATTAACAATAGTTCGGTGACGTTAATGATGCGTGATGCGAGTTGCATTGTATAGGAAATACAGTTAGGTTGGTCACTGGACAGAAAGATCCCTTACCCGGCGAATCGGCACCGTTTGTGTGGAGAGGCATATGTTAGCCAATGCGGAATGGAATGGTACTGCGTGTTGTGCGAGATACAACCTGGTAGTCAGTAACGTTGTTCCCTGGTAGATTGGTGTCATACTCTTCATCGTGGGTTTATGAGTATATTATCATGCCGAGGTGTTAGTCTGTCCAGTCACCCAGGTAATCGTATATATTTTGAACCTGTGAGTAGACTTTTGAATTTATAAACTATTGTATTAGTAAAATGTGGAATAGGTTTGAACTCTATGTATTTTCTCAATGGTTAATGGGCGTGTGAACAGTATGAGTATACCTAGGGTCATCTTGCTTTATGTTATGACATCCATATTTTTTTTAATACCTTGTGTTACAGTTCTAATGTAATTGCTAAGAGGTCGGTGGAGTAGCAAGAATCGTATCATAGTCTCTGCCTCGTCCGTAATTTTCTCATGGAGTTTTAGCACTGGGTAGCTACTTAATATAAACCGTCGTTGAGAACAGAAGTTCGTCTACCGATTATATATGCTCAACAGCGAACTTGGACATTGTATCTTTTCTCGTATAATTATTAACATATATATTGATATATCCTATGTATGGTATTATTCTGTCGTGGTTCGGGAAGCCTCAGTATTGATTTAGTCCGGATTCGACCACTGAGGTTTGGTGGATGAGACCAAGTACCCATTCAGAAAAACAAAATACGTTTTGAGACCAGACTGCAATTACTATCTTTTCTTTATATACGCAGATATACACACAGTAACGCAGGTATTCACCATCCGATACAAACAAAAAAAACCCTATAATATATAATAGCATATTCATAAATATAATTATATAAATATATCATTATTACAATAATTAACAATTGCAACAATTAACTAATTAATTATATATAACATAAGCATTCACAATTCAAATGCACTCACTATAACATTGTCACTTTATACACATCTAGATGTGTATAAGAGACAGATTATTAGAGTAACGAGCTCAATACCTGGATCATAGAACTAACTTCATGGCATAGCAAACACTCTTAATACCACACGTCACCACAGGACGAAACTAGACGTATTAAAACAAAGAATAATTAAATCATTGGTAAACGCATACATTGTACCGATTTTTAACAGTAGATTCCGTCTGTAGGCCTATTCTGATAAGCAAAACCAGAATACCAACTAGGCATGCATTACCTAACAGTACCATTATTAATTACAAATTAAATATATAATTATATCAATTTAACTAGCAACAGTCATTATAAAGTAATCGCACACTATTATTAGGAATATATCGAGTTACTCACAGTATCGATAGTATCAGACAAGATTCATCTTAACAAAAAACAACGTCTTACTCCGACATAAACCAAAAACCTTCTGTCGATACAACGCTCACGCAGCCAATGCATTATATTCTCCACCTGTTATGCAAATGTACACACGAATACCAATAAAACAAAAGCAATAGCAATGCAATGCGCCACGATAAAGAAAAAAAAAGAAATAACGGAAAACTTTCCGATCCATCACAATTCTATTGCTAATCAGAATAATTATTAATGTATATTCATATATTGATATAGCCCATGTGTGGTATTGTTCTATTGCTAATTGGAATAATTATTAATGTATATTCATATATTGATATATCCCCTGTATGGTATTATTCTATTGCTAATCAGAATAACAATTAATGTATATTCATATATTGATATAGCCCATGTATGGTATTATTCTATTGCTAATCGGAATAAGTATTAATGTATATTCATATATTGATATAGCTCATGTATGGTATTATTCTATTGCCACTCGGAATAATTGTTAATGTGTACTCATATATTGCCTATGTATGGTATTAACTGGCCACTGAGTTATAGTGAGGTATGATTCGTCTTGGTGAACGTAATAATTTATCTTGTGAGACGTTAGAATAGTTTGTTTGGTTCAGAAAACATAACGATATTTGTTTTGCATAGTCAATGTATAGTACGGGTTAAGTTACCGGAGTATTCATAAGAATATCCATGGTAGATTTGTCTTATGTGGCACGTTGTTCGGCTTGATCAACCGATGATTATAACCATTAAACTATTACTATTACATTGACTACTTTGATGCTGTGTCCGGAGTACTTTGTTTTTATTGTCTAGCATCTCTGAACGTTATCTTCCTTTTTTGAACCACTGTCGCTCATACGTGACACCTTGTTTAAGCTAGGCAAGGCATTGGGTCGTGACAAGACAAAGTGCGAGCCAGCGAGTCATGCGAGCCAATGCGCGAGCCATGCGAGCCAGCGAGCCATGCGAGTCATACATTTTAAATCCTTTTTTTTTCACCGGGAAGCTTTGCCTGTGTAGTCCAGTCATGCGCAGGACATACACTTTTTCGAATCGTCGATCCTGAAGTATGCAGCGCTGATAGAGATGTTGTTAAAATACAGATATACAGATACATACATAGATATATTTATATATATGTACTGTATTTATTGAATTGATATATATATATATTATTTTATATATACTGTATATATTTATTTATATATTTTTATATTTATTTGTATATTTATACATATATATATATTTATTTGCATATTTATTTATATATATATAGGGCTATGTATATATTTACTATATATTTAATTTTATATTTATTTATATATTTTTATTTGTGTATATATATATATATTTATTTATTTATATATATAATGTATTATTGTTTTATATTATATACTGTAATTATTTATATATTTATTCATATATTTATTTATATATTTGTTCGTATATTTTTTGTATGTTTATTGATATATTTATTTGTATATGTATTTATATATATTTATGTATATTTATTTGTTTATATATTTATTTATATAATTATTTAAATTTTGTTTATATTTTGTTTGTAAATTTATTTATATATATTAATATGTTCATATATTTATTTATATATTTATATATATATTTATATATATATATTCATACTGTATATATATTTATATATATTAATAAGTTCATATATTTTTTTATAGATTTATTTGTATATATATATATATATTTATACATATATATATTTATTTATATATACTGTATTATTATATTATATATATACTGTAATTATTCATATATTCATTTATATATTTATTTATATATTTATTTCTATATATATATAAATATAATATATATTTATGCATTTATATATTTATTTGTTTATATATTTATTTATATATTAATAAATATATTAATATATATAAATATATATATATATTTAAATATAAAAAATATATAAAAAAAATATATGAACATATTAATATATATATAAATAAATATATGAACATATTAATATATATAAATATATATATAAATAAATACATGACTAAATATATGAACATATAAATATATAAATAAATACATTA